TGAAAAGAAACAGTCTGATGAGAGAATATGAGCCCCTAGATCCAACTGTGCCTGAAACTGGAATCCTGGGCTTTTTAAAAATTACATAAATCAGTAAATTGTATATTTGCATAAATAATTTGAATTAAATTTCCTATCTCAAGCAATCAAAGGAGTTATGAATGCTTCTTTTTTTTATTTAGCAATCCTAAATAGGAACAAATCGAGAAGCTTGAGTTCGAAAGCACAGAAAAAAAATCTTCATCAAATGGAAAAGCTTTGAACCCCAGAGAAATAATTAAAAGTGTAAATTTTCTTCAGAGATTTTTATCAGCATTCAACACCAAACCAGTGTAGACTCAGATAGGAGGAAATACGAAAACTTGAGAAATAAAAGGGAAAGTTAATAAAAGATGTTAGTGAAATCTCATTCACTGGCAGTAATGGGGCGCCACACATGTTTCTAAAATATTACAAAAGTTAGAATTTAAATTCACATGTTAATTTACAGAGGGACTTTATGGCAAATTAGATTTTAAGTCGTCATCAAAAGTTTAGGTACATTTATTAGGAAAGCATGCAGATGTGTGTGGATATAAAGGAGAAGATATGAGAGGGAAAAAATCTGATAACCAAGCAAATATCAAAGATATATCGAGTACTTACTATGTGACAGTAATTAAATAAAAGGAAGTATAAATCACCAAACTTCAAAGCTGGGGATTTTCTCCAACTCCCTTCAGTTGTATACAATATAAATGGGACAATGGGAGTTGCCCTGATTTCCAAAGATCTGGACATTGGGCTAAACGGAGTGAAATTATGAAAGTCCATGCTACTTAGCTCCTCTGAGATTTGGGTAAGAAACAATGAAAGTGAAATCAGCTCATTTGACCCCAGTAGGACTTTCTAAAGGGACAGTGCCATGAGAGAAGAGACTCAGTGGGGAATTAGCTGCATATAATCCCCCGGTTGAGAATTCAGGCATCTAGTATATCATTCTTTACACGGAATTTTGAGAACAGGGCCAAGCTCACCTCTGTCACCTAGCTTACATTGGCCTCTATGCCTAATAAGGCAAGCATAAATTCTCCATGTTTTCATGGACACAGTTTTCATGATTTATTGCCCAGGAACATTGGCAGGTTAGCAGCTACTGAATAGAGTCTCATCGGCCTGGCTCTGCAAACAAGCTTTGTTGTGAGCTTTAGCGAAGCAATAGAAAAGCCTCCCAACATCTTGTGAATATTTTTTTTCTGTGCCATATAAATGCACTTACTGAGCCATACTATGTACAAAACACCTTGGGGATTAAAAGTTGAATAGTGTAAGCCAGATCTTCCATAGTTTACAATCTCTTGGGAGAAATGAAGAAAAGAACACAAGTCACAGAGGAAATACCAAAAGAAAGGGGAATATCAAGCCTTCTGTTCACGAGAGCTCAGAAGAACTTCTGAGGCAAGAGAAGAAGCCAGGAAGGCTTCAGGGAGGAGGCAGCATTAGCGCGAGGTCTTGGGACCCTGGGGTGGGAGCAAGGGGTGAGAGGAAGAAGTCAGCGTAGGTGTGTGTCAAGCGCTTAGTGCTGAAATGCATGCAAATAATAAGCGCTTCGAGTTTAGAGAAAAGCGAGATCCCTCTGCTATGATCCCTCTCAAAGCTGGATACAGCTTTCTACTGGAAATGAGGCTCAAGGGAGGGCTTCAGATGGAAAAAGGAGAGCTGAGTAGAAAAGAGACAGGGGATATAGGAATGATCAGTGTACACAAGGGTCAGGAAATAGATCTGGCAGAGAGAAGCTGTAATGTGGACTGAAGAAGAAAGAGCCACCCAATCAAGCTAAAAGGACAGCCTAACGCATTGGATCTCCATGAGAAATCAGTCTTCTGAGTAAGACATGCTTGATAGGTGATCTTAACGCATGATCCCAGCACCTGGAGCACCAATGTCCCTTAAGAACACGTTAGAAATGTGAACTCTAGGGCCTGATCCCAAATCTATAAAATCAGAAACCCAGAACCTGTGTTAAGAAGCCCTTCAGGCTTGTGACTTATGGGATTATGATCCGTAAAGGAATAACCAGGTTTTTGAAAAGATAACTTAATTCTTCCTCCTGTTGCTGCTTTATAGAACAAATCTCCAGAGATAGAAGTTATTCTCTTGAACTGTGTAGATTTGTGGGCTAAGGATGAATGTGCATACTTTGCATTCCCTCAGTCTCTCCCTAGAGTCCTAAGTTTTTGTGCAAAAAATCACGTGGATCATTAAAAGAGTTGACACTATAAAGTTGCAGAGTATTTATCTCCTATAGTAATTGTTATTAATGCTTCTCTCTTTTTTGTGTACACAAAAAAATACTTTGGCTTCATTTATTGTTTTATTTGTATCTTTACGATCCAGTGTTCTACTATGCCTATCTGATTGTCCCGAGGTCCCCTATTTGCTCTGACTTCAAAAAATAATAAATCCAGTGAAAGAAAATTTCTGTAAAGCTTGATTTACTTGGAGCACCAGGATTCTTGGCCTGAGTTTCTAATGATCTGAATCAAACTGACTTATACTTTATGAGCCCAGATCTTGATTTGGTAAAATTCAACAGACATTTTTTGAACTAGACGCTTTCAGAGACACCAACATGTACCAAATATTGGCAAGTGATAAAATGTGGGAAAAAAAGGTTATTACAGGTATTACAGGACTCCCTCCCTTCCTCCTCCCTCCCTCCCTCCCTTATCTTCTTGTAGTAAGTGCCCATGTGTTTTATTTTGTTGTGCTTTATGACAGTTCACTTCTTCCTCCCCACTATTGCTTCATTCAGTTAGGTCACACTGTGCTCGTGGCCTCTGAGGAGGAATGAAACTAGATATGAGGTAGAAACTAGTGAATCTTCCCCAGGTTGCTTTTCAAAACCTGAAGGAATGGAGAGAAAATGAGAGGAACCCAAAACAAAGAATTTGAGAGAAACAGTAAATAAGAATACCAGGTTTGAGAAGAGTGCGGCTCCCCCCCCCCCCCGCATCCCCCGCATATGTCGAGAGGCTGGGAAGCAGCTGCAGACAAGAAGTCATCAGAGTGGGCAGATTAGTGGTCCTCGGGGCTGGGAAAATGTGAGAGGCACTGCCCGTGATGGCCAGCCTCACAGGAGCCACAGGCATCTGGAAACCACCGTTACTGAAGCACGAGCAGCCCATCCTGACCTCAAGCGGCTACACTAGCTCCATTCCCATTGACGTGTGGTGAGGACCTCCCTCAAACTGCCCCCGGTCATGCTTCCAGTCTTTTTTTTAAGATTTTATTTATTTATTTGTCAGAGAGAGAGAGCACAAGCAGGGGGAGAAGCAGGCTCCCCGCCGAGCAAGGAGCCCAATGCGGGGCTCGATCCCAGGACCCCAGGATCATGACCTGAGTCGAAGGCAGATGCTTAACGACTGAGCCACCCAGGCATCCCATGACCAGGACTTTTCTTGGCCATTGGCCCATTCATTTCCATGTGACTCTCCCAGCTGTTGCAATATCCTGGGACACAATCTTGTTTTTTTGTTTTGTTTTTAAGATTTTATTTATTTGAGAGCGAGATCACGAGCAGGGAGAGGGGCAGAGATAGAGGGAGAAGCAGCTCCCCCCTGAGCAAGGAGCCCGATGCAGAGCTCTATCCCGGGACGGTGGGATCATGACCTGAGCTGAAGGCAGATGCTTAACCGACTGAGCCACCCGGGTGCCCCTCCTGGGACACAATCTTAAGACCGAGAGAAGGCAGGTGAGAACCTGAACACACACAGGTTCAGAAAAAGTAACAAAGTGAGAGCTGCACCTCCCACCTCCCATTGATGAATGTGTATTTTTTTTTTAAAGATTTTATTTATTTATTCATGAGAGACAGAGAGAGAGAAAGAGAGAGAGGCAGAGGGAGAAGCAGGCTCCCAAGGAGCAGGGAGCCCGATGCGGGACTCGATCCCGGGACCCTGGGATCATGACCTGAGCTGAAGGCAGACGCTTAACCATCTGAGCCACCCAGGCACCCAATGTATGTGTATTTTTGAGGACAGGGTAGCAAATGGATACCTTCAAGAACGTCCTCAAAATAAGCCAGCTATTTGGAGCTGAGAGAAAATGCAGAGTTCGCGTATTGAAACTCATTCTTTTTCCAAGCCCTATAAGCCCTGGAAATAGCCCAAATCCCCTTGGCCTTTGGCCACAGGACATTCTGAAGGTCTTACTGTTAGGGAGCAAAGAAGGGATTCCTAATTCAAAATTACAGGGGTGATTCCAATGACAGCCTTGGCTTTGGAGCTGAGCTCCTGACTCAGGCTCGCAAAAAGTGCAACTTCGAAGTAGCCACGACTGGGGAGGTGACCTGGCAACCTTGGTGGACGTCACTGCATCGCAGACTAAAAAGTACAGAAACTGCGAGTCTTCTTCCCCCTTTCCACCAAATGCTCACAATTTTTTTCCCTTTTAGTTTCTCATGCTTTGGCCTTATTTTTAGGTATAGGGAAATAAAAGGTTTTATTTTTAAAGGAGAAAATGGGATTTAAGACTTCAGATGAGGGGCGCCTGGGTGGCTCAGATGGTTAAGCGTCTGCCTTTGGCTCAGGTCATGATCCCAGGGTCCTGGGATCGAGTCCCGCATCGGGCTCTCTGCTCCTTGGGAGCCTGCTTCTCCCTCTGCCTCTCTCTCTCTCTCTCTCTCTCTCTCTCATGAATAAATATATAAAATCTTAAAAAAAAAAAAAGACTTCAGATGAGAAGATGTTTGAATGAGGACAAAACTTAAGTATTCTCAGAAGAAAAATTCCACTAAAGAACTAGAGTTATTAATGGCTTTTCTTATTCTCAACAACGTTCCTGTTAAGTATCATGTCGAATAGGGCAATCTTGAAAGCATGCACTCTTTCCCATTGCATGAGAGCCAAAGACGTTCTGGGAGGGCAAAGGGACTTGTCTAACCTTTCTTCGCCAACACGAGCACATCTCAGAAATCCTACTTCTCTGAGTGTTACGGTCTTTTCTTTGTGAAAGGTTAGAGCACCATCATTTTTGAACCTCCAATAGCTCCTAATCACAAGACCTCAGTAGGAGGCAGACAAGAATAAATCATTTGCTCTGTTCTTACTCAACTAAGCAAGAAAACTATTACTCTTCATTCATCGTTCTCAATTAACTTCTGGATAAATCATACCAAAAGTATTTAGTGATGGCTTATGATAGGTAAGGCACTGATGATACAGAGATTGGTATAGGAGTGACAAAAATGCAGAAGGTGGGGGCATCTGGGTAGCTCAGTCGGTTAAGCGTCTGCCTTCAGCTCAGGTCATGATCCCAGGGTCCTGCTCAGCAGGGAGTTTGCTTCTCCCTCTCCCTCTGCCACTCCCCCTGTTCATGTTCTCTTTCTCTCTCTCTCTCTAGCTCTCTCTCTCTTAAGTAAATAAATAAAATCTTTTTAAAAATGCAGAAGGTTATTTTATATGTTTCCTGCACCTGAACAGTAGTTTCTGCCAGATTATCTAACAATAATGTTTACATTTACCTGGACTTCACACATAGTATCTAGAAATAGAATTACCAAGAGTGGAAATTAGTTTCGGGTTATTTTAATTATGCGTTAAGATGATATGTAATGTTTAGAGACTTCCCCAAATGTAATACATTACTTTGATATTCTGAACAAAATTTTTTTTAGTAACTCCCATGTCAAGCAGGCTTTCATTGATTATTTTTATTTGAATAAAGCAAAACTTGAGGCAAATGGTCTTCTGGGTGACTACTCTTTGCACTTATGTCCTAATATAACACATTTCTGGCAGCAAAGGTCCTAGAACATACTCCCAAAATTCACACGATGTGAACTGATTTTCTGACAGAAATGAGCACCTCTGTTGCACTCCTACTGGTCATTGGCTTTCTTGGGCACAGGAATCTTGGATTCCATAGTACTTATGGCTTTTTTGAGGACCTCTAAGATTGGGCCCATAGTTTTGACAATTTGCTCCAACTGATCTGCAGCTGACTCGATGGTATTCTTGACATGTTCAGCTTTTAGCGCATCCTGCAATTTTTTCAAGATGTCTACTATACCAATTTTGGATTGACCTGGACTTTTGTTTTTCTCCGATGTGTTGGCATCTGATTGGTCTTCGGTGTCTTTTCTATAAAGGTCACTTAACTGAAGATTCATGATGGGATATGTCATCAAGAGTGAAAGAGAAGATTCCAAACTGCCAAGGATGTTACTGCTATTCAGGGCAGCGACAATGATTGGTGTCTGAACGTTTTTGAACATTTCTTTAGCTGACTGCTGCCATTCCTTTACATTGGTATTCTTCTCAACCATAGAGCAAACTGCTGTTGCAATCTTGGAACATAAAGGTTCCTTTTGCATCTGGTCATACTTTGCCTCCAGGACAGATTGCATCTCTTTAAAAATTGTGAATATTTTTTCAAAGACATCCTTAACATTATCATGTTCTTTCACAGCCATGGAGTGGATCTGGGTATTCATTGCGCTGTTAAACAATTCAATAAGTGTGTTAGTGAAGGCAACAAGATCTTGCATGTGAAAGAAAAACGTTTTGGCAGCTTGCACTAGCCTCTCTTTGTCCTTTTCTGATTCTGAAGACATTTCTCCAACAAAAATGTTTCAGCGCTGTAAAACAAAGTAGTAATCCAGATGAAAACTTAAATTCTATTTGTCAACCGTAAAAGACTGACCATATAATCTAAGTGTGGAAAGTAACTCCTGTCAAGGGTAGGAAAGCTACACCAGCTATAAAGTGGGACTTGATCCTGTGCTTTAATAAAAATAACAACAAAAATAATTAAAAGACTAGAATAGGGGTGTTTCAATGAATTTAAGCCACAGAGCGAATATCGTGTACTGGATCCTCAATTGGATATGCTGATATATGGAGTAATATTATTCTCAGGCATCATCCTCAATAATTATCCAATCTAGTGGAGAAGACTGTATAAAACTTAAAAATTACATAGAAGGGCTCTGGTTCCAGTTAAGATAGAGCAAGCACACTCTGTCCAAACTTTCCTACTGAGTACAACTAAAAATCCTGGACAGAATATATAAAGTAACTATCAGATAACTCTGAAAGGTGGGGAAGAGCAGACCAAAGAGTACTGAACTTCAAAGAAGATCAAGACCACCTGATGCCAACTCCCAAGATGTCTGTCTTGCCTAAGAATGTTTCTATACTTTCATTACAACTCATCCTCTTCTGCTATAGAGAGGAGTGTTGATGTCTCTAACCAATGTTCACAAGTAGAATTCTGGAGGAGATACAAAAAGACAGGACTGTGAACATTGGCCCAGGGGTCCCAAACTAGGGCATCCACAGGCGAAGTCCAACCAGAAGATGTGTTTTGTTTGACCCAACAACTGCTTGTATCAACTGCTAAATTTAAAAAATTGAAAGATAGAAATCCAGATTTCTATTGCTTATTGAAAAAATGAGATTAACTGGCAGCCCATGTTATAAGTTAGAAAAAGTGTCTAGAGCTATAGCTGTCCTTTTCAAGCTGGACATTTACCATCTACACCCTATTGTCTGACACTAAGTGTTTCAACTACATATGTCTGGTCCAGCTGCTGTAGGCATTGGAGTTCCTTTTTGGCCATACCCACTAATGTAGTTTATATAAAGTAAGCTTCCTGAAATCCAACCTCTTCATATTATCTCATAATAAAAGTCCTTCAATGATTCAGTATTGCCTAGAGAATAAAATACAATTTCCTGGGTGCCTGGGTGGCTCAGTCATTAAGCGGCTGCCTTCGGCTCAGGTCATGATCTCAGGGTGCTGGGATCAAGCCCCGCATCGGGCTCCCTGCTCCGCGGGAAGCCTGCTTCTCCCTCTCCCACTCCCCCTGCTTGTGTTCCCTCTCTCACTGTCTCTCTCTCTGTCAAATAAATAAATAAAATCTTTAAAAAAAAATACAATTTCCTGGCATGGCATTTAAGGTCATCTACAGATTGCTCTCAATTTTCCACTATTTCTCTTCCCTTCACTGCTCTCACATATGTCCTGGGCCACCAGCATCCTGGATTAAGTTTGTGCCCTGAAAATGCTCTACAACATTTTGTTAGCTCCTTTGTTTATAGTATTCCCTCCACCCGCATTCTCTCCTCCCTACCCCACCCCCTACACATCTACTAAAATCCTACTTACCCATCCATACTTACTTCAGATACACTATCTACACACATCCTTCTTCCCTTTTATCCCCGTGCCCATACATGATAAGCTCCAGGATATGTCAAGTGCAAAATGACCCACTGGGACAAAAGCAAAATAATACCCCACTTAGTCCTCCTTTAAAACTACAGAGCAGCACCTTTTAGATTTGTAGCTGGAGTCTCGGTTCTGTATCCTCTGACCCACCCAATAACAACAGAAATGATTGTTGTTAACGTAAGACGAATGGCTACCACTTAGTAAGTTTTTGTCATATATCAGGCACTCTGCCAAATGCTTTACATGCATTATCTCATTTAAACCATATGACAACCCATCAATTACAAACTAACACATCACACCAATGAAAAAAAATAGATTAAGGGGCTTTCCCAGGGGTACATGGCTAGTAAGCAATACTTTGGGTACACAAAATCAGGACTGCCCAATTCTAAAGGCTGTGGGTTTTCTTTCCATTAAGTTATAGGGGACTGAGTGATTTTCCTGCTTCTGAGGTGTCCCTGCTATAGAGGAATCAGTGGGGATGAGGACAGAATCTAGAGGGAGAAGCACGAAAGACTCCGATCTAAGCTTTAAGGGAAAGAAGTCAAGCTGGACTTTAAGGCTTTCCTATTGTCAAGACATTCACCAACACAATGAGAGACGGTAATAAAGAGCAGAAAGTTTAGCCAGGAAAGAAGAGCACACACACAAAAACCATATTTGGCTGCACATATCTGGCTTTCTCTCTTGAGAACTGAAACAAAGGCATCAGCAACAGATGGAGGTATGAATGTAACAGAAGCAAAAAGAAACTTAGTATCTGGAATAGCTGACAAGACAGAATCCCAGAACCTGAGCCCTGCAAAGAGCCATCTCCTCTGCTGAACTGAATTAACTCAGTTGTACAGCATTTTTCAACCAGAAAGTCCATTAAAGAACAGAAAATTCAATGTTTCGCCACTTTATTAGCCTTTCAAATTAGATTACTTCATACATACTAATTTTATATTAATATAGGAAATAGAAGAATTCTGAGAACTAGGAATGCAGAAATCGTCTATAAACCAGACAGGCAGAGGGACCCAGCAGAGACTAGCAAAGGCTGTAAGTCATCACATTCCATGGAAACATCCAGATGAAACCAGATGAAAAAGCCCTTTAACAATATTCCTAAACAACTGCTGGGACTACTGAACTCAGAAACACAGCAAGGTAAGCGATATGGATATTTCTACTAGTATTGATATGATATTCTGGTTCTCCGGATTAAAGGGTATTTGAAATAACATGTCAGTCTTGAATCCTAGCCATAAATATAATAAAGTCACAAGACAACTTTGTTTTAAGAGGACCCTATGGCAGCTTCCTTGTGATTATTTATTTCTCTGAAGACACCAGATATAGTAGAAAATTAACAGCTTATATAAGTCATTAAGTCAGAGGGGAAGAGAAAGCTGTAAAGACATCAATTTTAGAAAGGATTAAGGACAAAATGACACCTGTGTATTGTTTATATGGATTGTAGCATTTCCTTTTATGTCTCTAACATCAATATAAGCACTCAGGATCTGTGAAAGAAGGAATGTGCAATCTAATACTAGTTAATTTATAGAGCTGCTCCCTCATAAGTTATATTGCATTTAAATGCCGTCTGTCTCCGTTACCTTCTTGAGGGCAAGAAACATTGTCTACTTTTTTTTTTTTCTTTAATGTCTTAAGGCATAGAAATAGAGGATTCTCACCTGAGCATTTGACAAATGCTGATGAATGTCATTGATATTCTGCTTTCTGGTCAGAAACATTCTTTAGAAGAACTTAAAAAGTGTCATCATACCATCATCAATTCCTTTGTTTTGTTTTTTTTTTAATTAAAGGCCAGGGTTTTTATTTAAATTAAAGGCGAAGTCTCAGAACTAGTTAGTAGCCGTTATTTTCTCTTGAAAAGTTTCTGGTTTCACCTATCTCCTATTCCAAAACTCCCAAATAAGTGAACTTGTAGGATAGCTGGACCCGATGTGGATAGTGAGTAAAGTGACAGCAGGGAGAAACGCAAAACCTCAGAGAGCACACGTTAGAGGCTGAGACATGTTTTCTTTGTTTCTCTTTCTTTAATTGTTACTATGGGAAAAGTTCAAACATACACAGCAGTGGAGATGATAAAATAATAAACTGCCATGTACCCATAACCCAGGGTCAGAAATTTTCAAAACAAGCTTGATCTCATTTCCTCTGTAAACCTACTCCACACTCCCTTCCAGATTATTTGGAAGCCAATCTCAGAGATCATGTGTATCATTTCATCATTAACATACTCACTATGTATTTCTACAAAAGCAAAAACTCTTCTTTTTGAAACTTAACTTTGTGCTTCCCAAATTAACAATAGATATTTAACAGAACCATCTTTGGCTTTGAAACATACACAGTGACTTGCTATCAAAAAATTTTTTTGATGATGGTATAAAAGTTTTTGGAATGCAATTTGTAATACATATCAAAAGTAATAAAAACTTTAATTCCCATGGATTATGCAATTCTCCTGGAAATTTATCCTGAGGAAATAATCCAGATAATTGAAAAGGGGGGGGAAATTGTGTATTAAAATGCCCACTACAATATTGTGATAGGGAAACAATTGAGTATTTATTAAATTATGGTGGATATCTTATGGAATATTTTATATAATAAAATTATTAAAAAACTAAGAATTTGGGAAGGTGTTTAAGTAAATTAATATAAGATGAAAATTGTTTTTACACTCTTATTACAACTTGGTAAAAATACTTACACATTTAAACAAACTTTAGAAAAGAACAACCAAGGGGTGCCTGGGTGGCTCAGATGGTTAAGCATCTGCCTTTGGCTCAGGTCATGATCTCAGGATCCTGGGATTGAGTCCCACATCGGGCTCCTTGCTTAGCAAGGAGCCTGCTTCTCCCTTTGCCTGCCACTCCCCCTGCTTGTACTCTCCCTCTCTGGCAAATAAATAAATGAAATCTTTAAAAAAGAAAAGAAAAGAAAAGAAAAGAACAACCAAAAAAAATTTAAGATGGTAGGTTTATGGGTGTTTTCCCTTCTTTATTTTTAAAGTGTTTATATATTAGTTGTACTGACTTTATACTTCAAAGTACTTTTTTATCTAATCTTTTAATTTCTTCATGTTATAATTCTACCATCTATCAGAACACATATCACATGTCACTTTCTCCATGAAACTTCCTCTAATCGCTCAATATAATTTCCCTCTTTAAATTTCTATAACGCTTGACATTTAGCTGTTATTCACAAAAGTATCCTGAGAGTTTTTTATTTGAATATGTGATAATCCATACATTTTCATTTTGGAAGGTGATTCCCCCCCCCCAAAAAAACTAAAACAACTGTATAGTATTACTAAATAGATCTTAACTTTCAGAGACAATCACCAATATATTTCTACTATTTCTCATACGCTCTTTAACCTTGACTGTTGACTTCTCATTTCAACAAAATTGACAAGGTTAATTTCAGTGAGAATCCATTTGAGGCTGGTCTTTGTTTCCATTCCAATTTCCGAAAACATGCTGACCACTGGCAACAGCATTTCCAAGTTTCTTTTTTTGTGCGAAATAACAAGTCATGTTACAGATACAATAACAATACGTGTGGTTTCCAAACTTCCTTTTAGCAACAGAGCAACAGAACTCTCTCATCAAATAAACATTTTATGCACCCACAGTCCAAATACAGCAATAAGAGAGCTCTGCTGGTCCACAAAGACTAGGGTGAAATAAGCATGCCGGAGAGCAAGAGCGCCGCCTGCTGGCCAGCAATTCTCCGTCAGGCTGCCCTAGGGCTCTTCAGAACCTACCTCGTGAACCAAGGTAACAAAAAATACTCAAATAACAGTACAAACTGCAGTTCAGAAATGGATGGCAACTGTGCAGAGTGAATTTTTCACAGACAGGGAGCACTATCATCTGATAATAAACACTGTAAAAATCACATTTACCACACAAATGGTGCAGGTAGTAAGAACTGGACTAAGAATACCATTTAGCTACCCGAAAGCGCCAATCTTTAAAATTCATTTATAAAATGACTTGGAAATGACTTTTAAGGGACACCTGGCTAGCTCAGTCAGTAGAGCATGGGACTCTTGATCTCATGGTCGTGAGTTCAAGCCCCGTGTTGGGCACGGAGCTTAACTAAAAAGAAAAAATGTTCTTATTTTATTATCTATTTTTAAAGATTTTATTTATTCATTCCAGGGGCGGGGAGCAGAGGGAGAGGGACAAGCAGACTCGGTGCTGTACGCAGAGCACAACGGAGGGCTCGATTTCAGGACCCTGAGATCATGACCTGAGCCAAAACCAAGAGCCAAATGCTCAACCGAGCCACCCAGGGCGCCCCAAAAGAAATGATTTTTGAAAGACTGAATTTTTAAGTCAATATTTAAAAGGTCATGCCTGAAAATGTAGTAAAATAGGGAAAAGTAATTTCTTTTCTTAGGTAAATGGCTTTTCTTAGGTAAATACTACATATCTGTTGGTAAGACATCCCTTAAGGCATGCCTAAGTGACAACTCGGATCTTCAAGAAGGATGCCTCCAACTAATTGGAAGGCTTTTGTTTTGCTGAGTGAAGTAAGCACTTTGAGAGTCAGAGCTAAATTGTCATGGGCAATAGTGGAAATGCTGCATGTTGCCAACTGTTTTTCCATGTGTTATATAACCTCTCCTCTAAATATCAAGCATGTATTTAAGAATAATAGTTTGAAAGGGAACAAATTATTAACCTTCCCTAAGTGACTGAATGTTTCCATATGGCCCTAGTAGTAATACATATTAACTTGCGGGTTGTTTAAAATTTGTATTTGCACAAATCAAGCACCAACCCTGTAATTTCAAATGACATAATACTTTCAACTCAACAAGTAGTTTGAAGTCTGTCTTAACTACTTAACCAGATTAAAAATGCCATAAAAGCAGGGACCATGTCCTTTTCATTTTTGTATGCTCTATAAAGCCCAGCATGCTACTTTATACATAGTAAGGTACTAGTCCACTAAACAGTTACTGAATTATTAAACAGCTTCCTTCACCAGACTCTTCAAATTTCACCTGCCCAAAAATAATTCATTAGTTTCACCTTGAAACCCTACCTCTCCCCCACACCTAATTCTCTAATGTTTATCTCACTGTTGGGATGAAAATAATTTTGAACTGTATTCAGTACTGGGAAGGTATGGTGGCAGGCCATAAGGAACCCTCCCAAAGCCGTTCCCCAAGACAAAAGGAGCTAGGAAGGTAAGCCCGATTCAGAAAAATACAAGTCCTTTTTCATTAGATTTGAAAAGTAATTCTGAGCACATCATGATGTCTTACTCAAACTTGTTACTGGCACAAAATTATAGATCGATTATCTGGAAACTGGGAAGAAGGGTATAAAAGTGCAGGTGTCAGGGCTTAGGTATATAAAAGAAAGAAAATATAATTGAAAAAGTACTGGGTCTTTGATTTCTGGTAAGATTGAAGTCTTTTCATCAATTAGTTAGCTCCTACTCTTTTACTGTCCAGAGTTGTTTGCTCATTTAGCTGTTAGATAACTACTGTTTTTCTAATTGATAACAACAGTCTTTAGAAATTCATACTTCATTTTTCTTGCATTTTTCCCAGTTTCTTTTTAGTGGCTATTTGATCATTTTTTACAAATACTACACTGTTTTTAAATTAATTTTTAACTCCCCAAACTAGCCAATTATGCCAGGAACATTTATAGAACAATAATTTCAATTATTATCGATTTGAGAGTCTATGTTTATTATATATTAAATGTATAGAGGGTCTGTTTTCAGAACTATTTTGTTCCAGGATTCCATCTACTTTTGTACCTGTACAATACTAATATTATTTTTATAATGTTTTCATATTTGGGGAGGATAAAATCCTATCATTACTTTTTCCTGAAAAAATAAGAAATCTTATTTAGTTTTGTTTAATTTTGCTTCAATTCTTGGAAGAAAAGAAAGAGAAAATAGAGTCCTCTATATCTGTGTGAGATCTGGGTACATTTTCTCAAGTAAACAGCACCCCAATTTATTTTTATTTTATGATTAATTTGTCAAGGTGTCTTAAAACAGTGAGTTAAGTGGGAAGCAATTGACCAGTTGGAAGCATTCAACCTCCTATCCAGGAGGAAGGCTCATCTCTCCATTTGTTTATCATTAGGTAAATAGAACCACATACCTTTTCTGGAAGCTATGCCTTAAGATAACTGCAGATGATAGCTGCTAGAGATATTTTATACTTTCACAGGCTAAGAAAGACTCCTCTCACCTAAATATCTGAATAGGATTGTAGTTGATGGTCTTCTGAATTCAAACGGGAGTTTTCACTTCATGATAGTATCTGAAAACTAGGAGCCAAGAAAAGAAAAAAGTTGAATGGAAAATTTCTAGGAGAAACAAAGTCCAGATTCATGGTTATCGAAGTGCAGTATGCAACCCAATGGTGAGTTGGGGAATATTTAATAAACCCTCAACAAATTCTTTAAATGAAATTGAGATATTTTCTAAGTACTGTTTTGTGGAAATTTGTGTAACACATGGGTGTGAGTGTGTGTGTATGTGTGTGTGTGTGTGCGTGCACGCGCGCATGCTGGATCTGAATCAAAGATACAAATGAACTTCTGACCGTGATAAAGTTTATTCTAACAAGGGTACCAAGGCATTTTTCTAAACTGAACAGAATAAATGACGATGTTCCCAATCCGTTTAAAAAAAAAGTTTTCCTGAGCACCTTGGTGCCTCAGTCGGTTAAGCGGCTGCCTTCAGCTCAGGTCATGATCCCGGGGTCCTGGGGTCGAGCCCCACGTCGTCGGGCTCCCTGCTCAGCAGGGAGTCTGCTTCTCCCTCTGCCTCTCCCCCCCACTTGTTCTCTCAATCTCTCTCTCATGCTCTCTCAAATAAATAAAATCTTTTAAATAAATAAATATTTCCCCTATTTCCAAATTATATCTTTATGACTTGGAGGATAGGTTATTTTCATGTTTACTTTCTTGAGAGAAAAAGATCTTCATTCCTTCATTCCATGCTCGTGAGGTTCCCCATATCTAGACTAAGAGCCATGGTCTCAGAACAGATAGGGCCCAAATTCATCAGGATGTTGTTTACTCAAGAGAGAATGTGCCAGCCCCACACAGATTTCATTTTCTCTTTTCTCCCAAGAGTTTAAACTAAAAATAAAAGTACTGAGCACATAGTAAGCCTATTCAAGGTATGCATATTGTAATATTGTTCTTACAGTGCTCAAATTTTTTATCCAAATAAACTCAGAACATACTTGTTCCTTTTTTCTCTCCATAGTACTGAGCCATAAGAACAAACACAAGAAGGCTCCTACCTGATTCATTTTATTCATTCTATGATGTACTCTAGCTACTTACTCTTTCTTTTGTGAAATGGCATTATCTTCTATCTAAGGCTAATTCTATCTAATCTTCACCATGCCCAAGTGCATTATAAACCAGTCTAAATAACTTAACTTCTAAGCTTGGCAAATGGAGACCACAGAGGGCGTCATAACTGCATTGTCCCCTGCACCATGCGCAATCTCTCCCCAAGTGAGATTTTAATCTAAAGGATTTTGAATATATACCCTTAACATGAAGAGTTTTTGTAATGATTCTGTGTGTTGCCTTTGATGTCCCCTAGGCTTAGAGAACAAATAATTTGCCTGTAAAGACATACAGAGTGACCTGAATATTATAAATTAAGATAACAGTATATAAACAAACTTAGCTATTAATAGCTCTGTAAACTCAGAGATCTTAATATTCTTCTGGCCCTAGTAATTTATCTCCAAATATTAGAGAAACCAATCTGGTAGGTTTATTCATTATGGTGAGTAGGGTCTGGGAAAATTAAGGAGTACTGGTAATCAAGAGCTAACCATATCAAACTGCAGTCTCTGTCAAACCTTATTAAATATAACTTGGAAATAATCACATTTATTTATTAATAATCAGATGCTTGATAAACACAGATGTTTCCTATCTAGGATTTCTCTCCACCACAAAAAACCTAGTGCCGTATTTATTGCATCAGTAGGTTGCCTTGTGACCCACATTCCCATACACGGACTCTAAATTTCATAAAAATAATTGTTTTAGGGGCGCCTGGGTGGCTCAGTTGGTTAAGCGACTGCCTTCGGCTCAGGTCATGATCCTGGAGTCCCGGGATCGAGTCCCGCATCGGGCTCCCTGCTCGGCAGGGAGTCTGCTTCTCCCTCTGACCCTCCCCCATCTCGTGCTCTCTCTCTCTATGTCTCATTCTCTCTCTCAAATAAATAAATAAAATCTTTAAAAAAAAATAATAATAATAATAATTGTTTTAAAGAACCTGTTGAATTTTCTGAGGAATTCCTTAGATAGCACAGTGCTGTTTTTCTACTCATAAAGTAAAAGATTTCTTGGTCAAATGCACTCAGATAGCAGGTATTTTTCAAAATTTTTAGTGAAGACTTACTATTTTATTTTTCAGAGATTATATTTGAAATATGGCTCAGAGTGACTTCCTCTACCCAGAGAACCCACGGAGAAGGCAGGAAGTAAGCCGTCTTCACCAGCAGCTTCTTGACTGTTTATCTGATAGTTTCCATGCCACTAATACGCTGACTGAGGTCTTAAACATGCACTTGGGGTGCAGGCTGGCCTCCATCGAGATGAAAAGAGATGGGACCATCAAAGAAAACTGTGATATCATCATCCAAGCCATGATGGAAATCCAAAAGGAATTGCAAAAGGTTGATGAAGCACTAAAAGATAAGCTAGAGCCAACCCTTTACAGAAAACTTCAGGATATTAAAGAAAGGGAAACAGAGAAAATCGCAATAGTACAAAAGGTCATTTCAGTCATCCTGGGAGAAGCTACTTCTGCAGCCAGTGCTGTAGCTGTTAAACTTGTGGGCTCAAATGTCACAACTGGCATCATTAGCAAGTTGGTCACTGTGCTAGCTCAAATTGGCGCTTCTCTCCTTGGTAGTATAGGAGTTGCTGTTCTTGGCCTTGGCATAGATATGATCTTCCGTGCCATCCTGGGAGCAGTGGAGAAAACACAGCTTCAAGCAGCCATTAAAAGTTATGAGAAGCACCTGGTGGAATTCAAGTCCGCTTCAGAAAAATATCATCATGCCATTACTGAGGTCACTAACACAGTGAAACACCAAATGAAATGAACAGCCACTGTGCCATTGGAATGTTTTTCTGTTTTTCTCAATAATAGTGTTTTGCTTCTTTGATTAGGTTCATTTTCCAAGTTTCCAACATGGACAGAAATACAGTTAACAAGTTGGAAAGATGGTTTAAGGGACGCTAAAACCAGAGGACTCCAGAGTTTTGTATCAACAACGAATGCCTACGTCAGTTGGTGCTAGACCCTGCGAGGTTAAAGATTATATCCCAGGATACCTTCTTACTCTGCTCTACCAGATCAACATTAGGTTAAATGCTATTGTGTAAGAGCGGGTGTAGGGGTTACCTCTTCCTTTTCTAATTCACCACTGGCTTCAGACATCATTTATTTCTAAGGGGATGTACTTAGTAACTTCTGCCTAGACACAAACTGTGGACTTTTGAATGAAATAGAAATACTACCATCATTTTGACCTTCAGCTTAAGTCCCAATTTTCAATAAAGTAGAAGAGACTGAAATATGAGTTGTAACAATTTACTTCAATGATCAAAGGACGCAATGGTTCTGTAACTTCCACTAATTACACCCTATAAACTCGAATGGATTTTTAAAAGATAAAAGTTAAAACTGAAAAGATAAAGGTTCTGTTTCTATAATTGCAATCAACCCTGACCAACTGTGGTATGATGATTAAATAGCCCTCATGTGAATGTTTGAACACTCTGGAACACTTTAAAAAACAAACATGCAAATCCCAGCTACACGTGCATAAAATGCATTTAGGATGCAGGAGAGGAAACTGTTACTCTTTTAGGAATTTGTTATTTAAAGGAGAGTCAAAATTTATTACCTCATGAATTTCCAGAAAAATGAAATTTCATTTTCTACACTAGCACAATGGAGGATGCTGTCCTTGCCACATAAGACTTCAGGTGCCCCATTTCATTAATTACCTGATCTCAGAAAAATCCAGAGGCTAAGGAGGCCTAATGGTTCAGTTAACTTCTGCAGACAGAAGTGTTTTCTAAATCCTTCACCAACCAATAACTCCCCATTGTGACTCTTGCGTTCTACTTACGTAATCATTAAGTTTTGTGTTTGTTATAGTTGATTCTTGCATCTAAGTACAAGAAATGTGTTGAAAATTTAAAAACCTAAGCATATGTCAAAACTTAAAAAGCTAGACGAAAGACTTTAATTTTTCAAATGTACTCTTCATTTTTCTCTTGTCACTACTTCTTAAAATTAGTTGCAAAACTAAATTAGTTCACCTCCAAAATTAAATTTTGTTACTTAACTTACAATTTCTAAACTACAAGACCTTGTTACTGCTTTTTCTGGGACTCAAAATTCGGCCTAAAACCAAATCATTTTCGAAGACTTCTACCTTAGTTTAGGTAAAGAACCCATCTTAAATGGTTTAAGTGCACATTTAAATATCCTGCTGTTAAAAATTAACGTGTATCTCTTTCAATATTTTGGGATATTTATAATTAACAGTAAGAACTGACCTATACCTAACGTATATTCCAATGAGGAATATTTAGATCCGAAATGACCAAGGGTATCTCTTAAAAATAAAATGTTTAAATATTTAAACTTACTTTTAAGGGGAAAGGATAGGGTAAGAGTCTTAGACAAAGAGTGGACAGAAGAGAAGGAAGGACGAAGCCTAGACCTAAGTGATAATCCGTATATACGTATAGTGACATCATAAAGGACTTCCAGCTGGTCAAAAGACCAACAGGGAAGAGCAGCCAATATAAAGCAACCTCGCCAATCGTAAATTTAAGACTGACTGCACATGTATCCCCGTATTTCCTCCTCAAAAAACTCACTGTAGATTACTTTACCCGTAGATGAACAATCTGGGACTCTAACACGGGCACTGATTTATTTGCTCAGGTCTACGCATGTTCTGTGTGCCTATGAACTTCCCAGGCGGACAGGACGCCAGGAAAGCGCAACAAACGGAGTAGCAAATGTTATTCAGGGATCCATTTTTAAAACAGACACTATCAAAAGAGAGCGCACTCGCTTACATCATGAAAAAACAAAATCCAAAAACTAATACAATTCCACCCTACAGAGACAGCAAAACAGATCCCTAGCTGGAATCGGCGGTCTCGTGCAGCCCAATAAACGCAGCTTCCGGAAATTAAGTCAAACTGTCTCGGTCCGAGAGGCAAAGTCGGCTTCTCATCAGCCAATCACCTATCCGACCCGCTTCGTTTTTTTCTTTTTATTTCTATTGGTCTAAAGAAGTGTCAATTGACGTGTTTCTGCGTAGTGGGGGCGGGACCTTAGCAGAGAATCAGCCAATTCGGTATTGATTTGGAGCGGAAGAGACTCTGGTCCTGGAGTTCTTGGTGACTCTCTATGGTGCCAGGGCGAAGAAACGCTAAGATCTTGGGCCCTTAGGGATAGGAAGTGACGTAAGGATGGCGGAGGGGCGCGAGCTTTCAAGATGGCGGTGGCTGGGTGGCTGACCGGCATACAGAGGTGAAGGCCCCTACGAGATAAAAGACGCCGCGAATCGTCCCCTCCCCGCTTCTCGCAGTGCCAGGAGTCCAGCAGAAGTGTGAGTGTGCAGGATTGTTCCACTCCGTTTCTTCATCTTTTCCCGCCTTGCCCCGGGTCCGCGCGGTTGCCTCGGGGACGCCAGGCCCCTCTGCCCGGTTCTTCCTCTTCGCGGTTTGGGTCTCCCGGGTCACGGACCGGGGGATCGTGGAGCCAGGGGCGGTGCGGCTTCCAGCAGTTGGGCAGCTGTTCATCCGAGGCGGTTCGCGCCGCCTCCTGCCTTTGCTCGTTGACGGGTTGCTTTGGATTTGACGTCTTCTCGTACCTCGAGTCAGGGTCAACCGTCGCTATGGTTTCGGCAGTTGCTGCTGCTGTTACTTCTCTTGGTGGATCTGGGCTCCGTCCCACTGCAGCCTCTTCGGTTCTGTGGCCCGATTTCCCTGTCGTTTCTGCTTTTAGACAAAAAGTAGTTTGTGCACGCTAAGGCTCCGTTGTCTTCTGTAGACATTCTCTGTAAATCCTATCTGTTCTTTGTTTCACTTGTGGGAGAAGAGGGTCAAAACAGGAGCCCGAGGGTAATTGAGAGAGGACAGCAAAAAAGATGAACGGGCCATCAAAGACAGGAGAGCCTGTTCATACTAATTTTGTTTATTTCGGCCTCCCTTCTCCCCCAGTCCCAGTTTTTCTGAGAAGGAAACCCTGCACAGGGTAAATTAGTTGCCACTGGAACAGCTCTGAAGCATTTAGCAGAAATCAAGGCATTAACTAATGAACTTTCCTGACAAAAATCTTCAAGGAAGAAGGGAAGGTATAATTAATTGTGTGGGCTACTGAAAAATTTACCTCATGATCTTCCCTTTCACACCCTTCAGAAGTCTACTTCCAAAAGGAAGTACATTTGTCAATTTTATTATTGGGAAGAATAAATATTAAAAAGTTAAATGACTGGAATAAGAGAAAGAAGTACTATAGTAGTGTCTTAGGTTAATAAAAATTTTGACTTGCAAAACATTTTCTCTCAAATACAGTCATCCCTTTCAGTTACCATAAAAAATAGAAATCAGGAGTCAAGTAGGTACTGGTAGAAAAATGTGTGTCTTGACGTTTTTGGACACTCCTGCATGTAATACTTTCATTTTTAATATATGCACTTTCAGTTATGTCTTAAGCTCTTCAGAGTCAAGAATTATATGTGAATTAGAACTAAATTTGAATTAAACAGGCTTAAATTAATGAGTTTTTACTATCTTACAGATGTTGAGAATACATATGAAGAAAACCATGGAGAGAGTCAAGGGTGACATTTGTTGTTGAACCCATATAATTACCCCCATTCCCTTTTTATTCCTCTTTTCACCCTACATGTAAACAAAGGGAGGGTGTAGAAAAAGGACTAATGGCGGGGCGCCTGGATGGCTCAGTCGTTAGGCGTCTGCCTTCTGCTCAGGTCATGATCCCAGGGTCCTGGGATCGAGCCCCGCATCGGGCTCCCTGCTCCGCGGGAAGCCTGCTTCTCCCTCTCCCACTCCCCCTGCGTGTGTTCCTGCTCTCACTCTCTCTCTCTGTGTCAAATAAATAAATAAAATTTAAAAAAAGAAAAGAAAAAAGACTAATGGCTTTTCATATTCATGGTTTATCCCATATTGTTGAAGCATTTTCTGATGGATTCTTTTTTTTCAATTTCAGAGTCAGTCCGTGATCCATTTAAAAAAGTTAATAAATGGGGGCGCCTGGGTGGCTCAGTTGGTTAAGCGTCTGCCTTCGGCTCAGGTCATGATCCCAGGGTCCTGGGATCGAGCCCCACATTGGGCTCCCTGCTCAGCGGGAAGCCTGCTTCTCCCTCTCCCACTCCCCCTGCTTATGTTCCCTCTCTCACTCTCTCTCTCTTTCTGTCAAATAAAATAAAAAAACTTTAAAAAATAAAAAAGTTAATAAATGGAATGTTACTTTTAAAGAGATTGGTAGAAAGAAATTTCATAATATAAAAAGGAAGAAATTCTGTAAATAAATCAGAAGAATAAGCTATTTCTTTGTCTTTGCAGGTTTTTTTGTTTTAATGAACAAGTAAATCATACAAATTGTCAACATGGGACGGAGATCTACATCATCCACCAAGAGTGGAAAATTTATGAACCCCACAGACCAAGCCCGTAAGTGCCCATTAGTGTGGAGTGATAAAAATTCCAAACACCAGAGAATCTATTATGTCTTAATTACAAAATCAGCATTGCTAGGAGTCAGTTGTATAAAGTTATCCACTGTTGTGGGCACATGATGAAAACTTTGAACATGCAAAAAAAATACCGATATTTTTAATTTGATTGACTGCAGAGTAGAATTGGATTGAAACTTACTGTATTTGTAATTTTGGACAGATTAGTTTTGAGAAGCTTAAAACAAAAGTTTCTCAAGATTTTGGTTGGCATAATTAAAGGTTGCTATTGGCATCTGGTGGGTAGAGGCCATAGATGCTGCTGAATACTCTGCAATGCACAGGACAGCCTCCCACATTAATTTTTGTCTGTATTAAAATGGAGAAAATGCTAGCGTTCAAGATTTGAAAGTTTTATATTTTCTCTGTCTCTCTCTTAAAGGAAAAGAAGCCCGGAAGAGAGAATTAAAGAAGGTAGGACTTGAGAAGCATCCTGTTAGCCACAAGTGATGTTTGGTACATCTTATTATATGGGATTAGTGGATTTCAAAACAATATTTACAGTTATTTGTCAGAAAAGATACTTTATGCTTCTTAGAACAATAAAATTTATTAAGTCAAAATGCTGCACTTGGAAACTGAACTGAAATAACTTTGCAGATAAGCTCATGATGGTTATCGTAATATATATTTGATTATCTTTCCCACTGAGTTAAATAAATATCTTTGAAAGGATTTTTTTTTTTTTTGCTATTAAAGCATACTGCTTTGTTAAAAGGTACCAAATTAGTGAATGGAAATAAATGTGATTCTGAATAGCTTTGTTGGTTCATTTTCCTCATTATGTAGCTGTTGAGTTTGTGGCAAAGTGTTCTCCCAGAATAAGACCGTATTTACTTTTTAGTATTCTTTAACACACTGAAAGAATGCAGATTTTTAATGGTTTTTTAACTGGGT